AATCATAGAAGGTAAAAAGAATAACCTGGAGTGAAATCCTAAAAGGAGTGGTTTGAGAGGGACAGAGGCACCAGGAGCAAACAAATGTGGTTTGTAGCTTCCATGCTTTCATACATAATCCTTGAATTATTGATTCTTAATGAAAATTTAAAAACTCATGGAAAGACCACAAATATAAGTATAGTTTATTGGCATGTTATTGCCATCTTGTCTTTTAGCGCCATTATAAACCAAATTTCATCTCTTAAATTTCTAGTGAGCAAATTCTAGGAAACATCTTAAAACTTTGTTAACTATTTTTCAATACTAGGCAAATCTGAGTTGATGCGATCAAACAAAACTACTAATGCTGCTAGAATAGCAATTTCTCTCCGTCATTTATTGAGAATGCATATGGACCAGAAGTTTCAAGTGATGGGAACCTTTTCTTAACCATCAATATTTTCCCTGTTTAGTACAGTGTGTCCAACTCAATGCATGCTATATTATGTTGAATTAAATCTCTTAATATAAATAGCTTCAGTACTAACACATTTATGATTATTATTAGTGCCATATTTATTTACTGTAATCTTTATTTTTGAACTCAACAAAAATTATTCATTAAATCATTCATTATTTATTGAGCACCTAGTATGTGCCAGGTTCTTCTCCTGGGAGTCAGCAGTGAACAAAACACATGCAGGTACCTGTCCTAATTGAATTTACATTCTAGTATTAAGGACAGACAATAATTAAACACATTAAGCAAATTAAATCAAAATCTATACATTAGATGGTGGTGAAAACTATGGAGAAAAACCAAGCAGAAAGAGGGGAGAAGGAAGCAGTACCATGGGGTAAAGTATTCCAAGAAGGTGTCTATGAGAAGGTAGTATTTGAGCAAAGATTTAAATGAGGTGAGGGGTCATATTTGGGGGAAGAATGAGCAATTGCATAAAAGTATAAAATAACTTAGAAAACATTTAAAAGATTTTAAAATTTACTTTGAAATAAAACTACTAATTTTAATTAATATTAAATTTAGTAGTGTAAAATATGAATCATGCCAAATAATCATGTTATCTAACCATCTTTTTGAGCATCTGTTTAAAATATATGCAAATGATCCACAATTTAAATCTCTTACATGTAGAGAGGCTTTAACTCATTAAGGCTAAAGTTTAATGATAACCCTGGAAAGAGTTATTTCTGGAGGGAAATAATTATAGCATGCAAAAGTGGACACTAGCTGTTCGCCAAATGTGTCATCAAAACTTAAGTTTTAATGAGGTGAGGGAGCACAGTCTATGGATAGGTGAAGAGAGAGTACTCCAGGGAGCAGAGAGAGCAAATTCAAAGTCTCTGACTTGGGGTTGTGTTTCAAGGCTCCATCCGTGACAGCAGAGAGGTCTCTGAGGCTGGAGCGAAAAGAGTAAGAGCAGGTTAGTAGGAGGTGAGATCGGAGTTGTGGCTGATGGAGTAGGGCTTTGTAAACCTATAAAACTTGGATACAACCACTAGCAAGGTACAGTGTCTAGAAGAAGAGAAGAGGTCCAAATCTAAGCCTTAAGACCCACGTGTTAAGAGATTTTGTAGATGAGAAGGAAGCAGCAGAAGAGAGTGTGAGTAACGAATGAAACAGGAAAAGGCTGGAAGTCCCGCAAGCCAAGTGTACCAAGAAGGAAGAGTTGATTAACTGTGTGTTAAATGTTGTTGAGGTCAATAAAATAAGGACAGAAAACTGACCACTGGATTCACAAAAGATCACTAGTGTCCTTGAAAAGAGAACATTTTTCTGCAGTGTTGGAGTGAAAGCTGAATGGAATTTAGTAAATTTGTGAGAGAATGAATAGTTGGGACCTGGAGTCAATGAGCACAAGTAACTCATTTGTGAAGTTTAAACCATTAAGGGCGGTGGAGATATGGGAGCAGCTGGGAGGGAAGAGATTTCAACAGTTAGAGAACTACAATGGCTTTATTGAGATATAATTCAGATACCACAAAATTATTTGTTTTATAATATTTATTCACTTTTTAAAGTAAAGACAAATAACAGCATGGATTTATGCTGTTGGGAATAATCCCCAAGAGGAGGGAAATCATGATCATATGAATAGAGATGAATAAATTACTGGCATATTGTTCCTAGATGGAATCCAGTACATAAATGGGAGGTCAAGCTTAGATGGCAGGACATAGCGTTCATCTGTATGAATGAGAAGGTAGGCAGAGTTCAGGGTACAAATACAACTGGTGTGTTTATGTGGGCATGTGGAGTTTCTCTTCTGATGGGGTTTATTTTCTTGGTAAATTTGGAAGTAAGGTCATTAATGAGAGGGAGGATGGGAAGGAGATGTTGGTTGTTGGGGAAGAGAGAAAATATGAATTGGAAGGGCATAAAAGCACATGGACTATGAGATATGACTGCTCAACTGTCTTAAGGATCCCCTTGGGGTAATGGATTTAAGGGAGACAACAGAGCATGATGATGTATTTTCCCTCTGTCATATTTATCTGCTTGGCATTAGTAGGGAAAAGGAAATAATTTAATTTATGCCATGGTTGTGGTTTTGCCAAGCAAGTATAGGGAGGGTCAGGGGAACTGAGGGCTCATTCAAGGGAATGATGATAATGATTGACCATAGACTTTAAGTCAAGTAAGAAGGTTACTTGAATTGTTGAAGGTAGTGAGGGCGAATGAAAAGTAAAGAGGATCAATGGATTATAGGGCCTCATGGGAGCCAGTAGACTGCTAGAAGGAGTGATCTAGAGAGAGGACATTAGAAAGTTTGAGATTGCATTTGCCTTTATGACTTGGAACCCTCCCCCTATTCTGCATGTCCAAGTCTTGATCTAGCCCTTAGACTATGAAATCAGGCAATTTTCCCTGATTCTCCCAAGCTAAAAGAAAAACCTGACTTCCTGGGAGCTCCCATAGCATTTCTGACTGAACTGTCCTTAGAGAAAACTTCTATCTTCCGTGTACCCTTGGTTCCCCCAAAAGCCTTTAAGCAACTTTATGTTTTATTCTGGTCTCCTAGCTATCTCAGCCCACAGTCATGCATGTAACAGAATAATTACGTCATAATGATAATCTGAAAAATGGGCGCTCCAGGGCCAAATCTCCTTCACGTGAAGTCGTGTATGATATGGTAAAGAATGTCATCAATGGCAGTGTTAGTGGTGGCAATGTTCTCTCTCAATTATATTTTTATTTTCTGTGTTGGAGAAAAATCCCCCATGCATAGTCTTTATTTGTGAATTCTGAAACAATCAGAGATGGGCTTTGTTGAGCCTCCAAACCTCTGTACCTCCTTCTCTGCTCGTGGGGTGAGCAGCCCTTCCCTCCAGCACTCCTGGGTCTACTGTCCCTGCACTCTCCAGGTCTTAGCCCCACAGGGAAAACTCTGGTACCTTCACTGATGTCAGGATGAAAATGTATGGCCTTCAGTCGATGGGTTACCTGAAACAGAAAATTGAATTTTAAATACTGAAATGTGCTGAATTCTGCCCCCTTTCGAAATGATTTGAGAAATCAGCTAGTAGACAGGAGATCTTCAGGAGCAGGGAGCACCTGAGTACAAGCATTCGCTATGTCCTGAGGAGCCCCAGACGAGGGCGGGTAAGACGTTTCCTTTAGCTTAGTGGAGACATGAGTGGATAAAGGAAAGTTAGGGATGTTTGTCTATTTTTTTTCCCTTTCTTGAGCTTCTTCTGCCTTTCTGGAGACAATAAACCAAAGATATTTTTCCTCTGACTACTGAAGTTTTTCTTTGGTAGTTACTGGGAGCAGATGAGAAGCAGATGGCATCATCAGAGCTGTGGAGTCGGCCCTTCTGTTTTTCAGGGCCGCCTGACCAATATCAGGGATTCCTCTGTCAATTCTCTCAACCCTGTTCAACACAGACTGGATCTTTTCTTAGAATCTAATTTGAACTTCCACCCTCTACTCTGGAATATCTACATATATAATTCATGGATGGTATTTGCTATTTAACTTAATTTTTGTCCTAAAACATTAATTTTCTGATGTTGCTGTTTCCATGTCTTGTACTTATTTATATATCTGATTACAAAGTTCATGGTAAAATGTATTTTTTTTATGTTCATGGCTTATTTTATTTTATTTTTTATTATTATTTTTTATTGAAGTGTAGTCAGTTACAGTGTGTCAATTTCTGGTATACAGCATAATGCCTCAGTCATATATATATATACACACACACACACACACACACGTTCGTTTTCATATTCTTTTTCATCATAGGCTACCACAAGGTATTGAATACAGTTTCCTGTGCTATACAGAAGAAATTTTTTAATCTGGTTTATATATAGTAATTAATATTTGAAAACCTCGAACTCCCAATTTATCCTTTCCCACCCCCTTTCCTCCCAGTAATCATAAGTTTGTTTATTATCTCTGTGAGTCTGTTTCTGCTTTGTAGATAACTTTATTAGTGTCTTCTTTTTTCTTTTTTTCGATTCTACATATGAGTGATATCATATGGTATTTTTCTTCTTCTTTCTTGAGCCATATTGCACTTAATAATGTCTTAGTATGTCTGTATCTGTACCTATACCGATGGGATGGTTACGTATTTCTCTAAGGAAATACCTATTAATATATCAATAACTGAAGAGTTCTTTGTTTCAAGGTAGGTTAATGTTTAAAATACTTTTCGTTGTTCAGGGAGAGACAAGTACAATATTTAATCAGAGTATTTGAGTTTCTTGAGGTATTAAGACTTTTGCAATGCTTAATAGAGCACAGGGCTTCTAGTTCCTGCCTTTGATGTTTGCACAGGGCGGCAAGACGGCAGGGTCTGGATTTGGCGTGAGATGGACTTGATCCAAGGAAGGAGAAGTCACACAAATAAGACACTAAACTGACTTGAGACGGATTTCATCTCTGGTGTGCTCTGATATTTACCTTCGCTCTGTCATCATTAGGTTGACCACACCTAGCCCATGATGAGAGAGACAGAGGGGTCAGTGAGTATAAAAACTCCAGTTAGAGGGGCCCTTGCGGATCTGATTCTCCAGGATGACTGGTCCCCGTTTCTAGGTCCCAAATCACCATGTTTTTGTACTTGGTTGTGGCACTTTGTGTCTTCTGCAAAGGTAAGGGACTAACTGAAAGAATCCTTCCCTGTTTGATAGAATCATGCATATATTTGTTTAAATATTCAGTGTTCTCTATTTCAAATATTTTTCTTGCTGGGAAATCTTTTCTATACCTAAGTGTAGGAAAAGTAAGAAAACTGGATTTTCATTTTATTGAGTATTATTTCAGCTTTAATAAGCTTGCCTTAAGGCGATATCTACATCTATACACTTAGAAATATTAGCAAGTTTTTGATGACTCTGTCTCGAACTTGCATCTTCCTTAAGACTAAAGACTCACACCAGTAATTTCAGTTTTCACAAATCATGAAAGGATCACTAGTTAAAAGACCGGTTCATCACCAAAAGAAAATTTTGTAGGGAGACTATTTCTTAAACTAACAACTTTCCTGGATATTTTAGGAAGTCAATTAATTAATTTCTGAAATCAATTGAAAGATGATATCATGAATTAATTTTTAGTAAAAATCGAGCGAAATGAAAAAAATCTTTGAAAACAAATGTATTTCTTGCCCGTTAGTTTTGTTTCTGAAAAGGATAGAAAAACAATAATGTGCAAATATAAAGGGAAAGATCTGCAAAAGAGAAGATTTATGCTATATCTGAACTTAAAATCTATTTTCTAAACTTGGGATAGAAAACATTTTACTTTCCTGTGAGAAACCAGAAGGTAGAGGACTACAATTATTTGTTGTAATTAAGAAACAAAATATTTCTATCCTTCATCTAACTACCTGGGAAATTGTCTGATGGACCATCAGAAAATGCTTACTTCAAGTAATGGTGACTTTCATAATTTCATGTGGCACTTTGTTAGAATCTTTGCTTCTATTTTACATAAATGTAAATATTCTTTGCCTCTAATTTGCATAAATGAATTTCCTATTTCTTAAGTAACAGACCACAAGGCACATTATTTTCAAAACATTTATTAAATGATATACCACAACAAGATGTGTCTGTATTTGCTAAAGTATATTAAATTCACCAGAGAACTGGAGAATGTTTCTAAAGTAAATTCCTAGATATTCGTGATCATTCTGTTAAATGATTATGAATATTTCAATAGGATTTCCATAGACTGGTTATTTATTGACAAGACTCAGAGATTTTATGCATTTATTTATGTCAATGGTGAGAAGGAAGGAATATATCTGGAGAACTGCTCTTCACAGAAATTTCAAATGCCTTCGTTGAAATGAATTTTTATTGCTTTTAGTCACTGAGATTTACAATCCAAACAGACTGCCTTCGTTTTCAGTAGGTTACAGGATGGAAAATAATTGACAACTGGAAGCTGGAGAAGGCAGATACTTAGAGGTTGTCCACAGAGTCAGAAGAAATATTTGTATTGTTTAATCAACCATAAATGTATAGAAAGAAAGAAAAAAGCCAGTTCCCTTCAGTGATACAAGGTGAAGGTCTGGCACAAAATGGATATGCATAATCAATTCTGATTTTATTCCCAAGCCATTTTGTCCTCTCCATAGAGTAAAATCTGTACAGTTATTTGCCTTTTTTCTCTTTTCCCTTTTTTGTCTAATTCATTGCTTTTGAATATATTAACCAGAAAATGTTTAGGGAAAGTAAAATCAAGTGAAATTTAGATCAGAAAAAATACTTCAGATTGGCAGCTGTAAAAGGTTTGGATATTGTGAAAAACAGAAAGTATTGGCTAATACTAGTTCGTGAGTTTCATTTATTTGACTATATATATTCCCAAGAATGCACTGACATTGAAAATTTTGAATATGTTGATACGTAAATGCATTACTTATACCTATATAGATGAAATTTATTAAAAATGAAAGCGCCAAAATAATGAATTGATGTAATAAATATTAGCTATAAAAAGCAGATTGTTTATACTGAATTTTTTTAAAAAAGAATGGAAATAAGAAAATTTCCATTATAAGAGAAGTATAAAATGACCTAAATGTTTTCAATTTTTGTTCACTTTTTATAGATGGTGAAGCCCTATTTTATAGGCTAAACTCAGGTAAGTATCTTTCAAAAATTAATATTTACTTTGAGATATCAAGGTTTATTCTGAGCCTGCTTTTGGAACACAGACATTTTTTCCCCAGCTGTATCGAGATATAATTGACATACAACATTGCATAAGTTTTCAGTATACAGTGTGATGGTTAATTTGATACACCTATATATTTCAAAATGAGTACCACAATAAAGTTAGTTGACACCTCAATCAACTTACACAATAATAATTGTGTATGTGTGGTGAGAACACTTAAGATCTACTCTCTTAGTGACTTCTAAGTACATAATACAAAATGATTGACTATATCACAATGCTATATATTAGATCCCCAGAACTGATTCATCTTATAGTTGGAAGCTTGTACTTTTTATTAAGACCTCTCAATTTCCCCCACCCCCCAATCTCCTGGCAACCGCCATTCTACTTTCTGTTTCTATGAGTTAGATGTTTTTAGACTCCCCATAGAAGGGAAATCATAGTTTTTATCATTCTCTGACTTATTTCACTTAGCATAATGCCCTCAAGGTCCATCCACTTTGCCATAAATGGTAGGATTTTCTCCTTTTAATGGCTGAATTGTATTCTATTGTGTGTGTATGTGTGTGTGTGTGTGTGTGTGTGTGTGTATATAAATAAAATACTCCATTACATATATATATGGCATATATATGTATATATTACACTTTCTTTAGCCATTCATCTACTGATGGACACTTAGGTTGTTTCTATGTTTTGGCTATTGTGAATAATGCTGCAATGAATAAGGGAGTGAAGATATCTCTGAGATAGTGATTTTATTTCCTTTGGATCGCTACCCAAAAGTGAAACTGACAGGTCATATGGTAGTCCTATTTTTAATTTTTTGAGGAAGCTTTATATTGTTTTCCTTAATAACTGTACCAATTTACATTTTCACCAGCATGGAATACAGAAAATTGATGTATCCAATTTTCATTCATACTTGATTTTGTGAATGAACTACCTGGACGCCTTACTCATTTATCACACAGGATTGTAAAGTGCTCAAGGAGAGGATTTTGATCTGATTTTGCTCTGTATTCACAATGCTGAGAACAGCAGCTGCAGTGGGGCTCAGGGTATATTTGTTGTGAATTAATAAAATAATTCAGGATCATTGGTAAACAGTTTATTCTGCATACAAAAATTTTCAGTATGAAGGTAACCAAATCCTTTATAAGGTAAACTTTCTGAAATGAACCACAGATAGTCCATCTTCTTACCCAAGAAGACATGCGACTTTTGAACATAGTGTAACCTTTTTCGAGGACATCAAAAAAAAAAAAAAAGATGCCAGTTATATTAAATATCATGCAATGATGCCCTTGGGATTTACTGATATATGTGTGACAGTTGGAAACTACTCTAGAAATGGTTTCTGAGTTTCCATATCTGCTTTTAATTTGCCTTTTTGTCTCCTCACTTCTGTTAACATCTAGCTTTATATCTTTAGAAGATCATTATGTCTACTTATAGCACTCAATTCCAATTCCTACTTAGTGCTTTCAGTCTAGGATGGGATGAGAATATCTTTGATTCCCAGCTCATTAGCCTCGTATATGGGGTAAAATTGTGCACTCTATGTGAAACCCCAGGGATTTTTCCTGATGGTAAAGTTCATGCATGGGTTTTGTGACATCTCTGTTTGTTGCAAGAGGATTTAGGAATGACTCTAAACTGTAACCTACATTTCAGATAGTTAGAATTTTCCAGGCTTTAACCTACATGGGGAATGGGGAATGAGGAATGTTACTGAACAATTTTACTTTAGAGACAATATTATATGTCCCTGAACCATATCTGTAAATCATGTCTTCTTATCTTTTGGCTAAATATGTGTATGTGTATGTGTGTGTGTGTGTGTGTGTGTGTGTGTGTGTAACTACACACAATTCAATTTGATAACAGCTTATCAGAACACATGGAAAGCCCTTTATCTTTTAAGTGACTCTATTTGCTATTTGTTTTAATTTGCACCTGGAGCTCAGAAATTGATCTGCTGACCACAATAAGTCTTGGGTTTCTTGGAACAATTCCAATTTCTTAAATTTTATCTTAGTATCAGACCATATACCTTGAATTTTTATTTGAATAATGTAGTCAGTTTGGATTTGTGAATTACGGAGCATAGAGAAGCATTAAAAAATGAAAAAGAAAGCTGCAATTCACTAAGTCTCAAAATTAAAATGTTACCCCAAATTTTTGGAGGTTTCTTGAATATGTTATCAATTGGTAATTTGTGCAAAATTCTAGTGCCATTGTTAAATGTTCTATTTCACATTGTTAATGAGAATTCTTTTGGAGACCACTGCTTTGATGTACTTGATATTTTATCAAGATATCAATATTTTGATATCTCTAAATTTTACTTAATATCTGTGCTTACATGTAAATTGTGCCACTTGTAAAGTACTCATTCTTAGCGTGAGTTTTTGACTCATGATATGGTTATATTTACCACAGCTTGACAAGTTTGCAAATTTACAGGCTATTTATTGAAATATGAAGAAAATTCACCTTGATTCATATAATAACCCTCGAATCATTTTAAGTTGTATGTACATGAATTTTGGCATCCAGCTGTAAAATAGAAATTTTAGTAGTTTTAAGTAGCCATTTGATTCACATTAAGTAATTTTAGTGTATATAGTATTTTGTCACATGAAAGACTCCTTTAAACTAAAACTTCTGCATTTCACCAACAGAATAATAATGAATGCTTTGAAGCACCTTTTCAGTGGTCTAAGAAGTATATTTGCTCTGTTCTAATTCATGCATCTAGACGGGCTCTGTAAACTGGCTGGAGGACTAGCCCAGCCATTCTCCTATACGGGGCTGGCCTGGAGGGGTATAAAGATGCCATGGTCAATGGACGATTACTGTATTCTTGCCTGAGTATTGACTTAGTGAGCAGATGTTTGTGGGAACGCCTCTCAGGACAAGAAGTGGCTGTAATCAAGATTTACTTTCTGTTGAGAAATCTGCCAGAGAAGCTACTAATGATAGCAATTCTCCCTTTTTCCTTCAGATGATGAAACAGCTGAAAGCGAAGCAGGTAAATTCCTTTTTTTTTTTCTTCTATTTATTCTAAATAACAATAGAGGGGCAGTGCTTCTCTTTGGAGATGGCATATCTTCCATGGAAAAATCATTAAAACATTTAAAATGAAATAGTCCTTATTAGTACAAACAAATACATCCTAGGGTGTTTTTTTGTGTAATCTGAGCCAGACTTTTTGATATTTAATCGGTATTTATGGAGGTAGCAACCTTTGAAATGGAAAATTGCTCTGGTTACTTGTTTTTTTAAAAAATTTCTTAAACCTAGGAGAGAAATGTGAATGTAGATTTAAAGTTTTACTTTCCCATATATCTATTGACAGAATATGTTTTTACTTTATATTCTAGGATTAATTTCTTAGTGAGCTATTTTAAAGTTGATCTTAGTGTCAATAGTTTTATTACAGATTCCTTTGGGCAACTGAATATCATTGAATATGATTCATTATTTCAGTCTAGCAGGAAACTAGGGTGCTATGATCCAGTATTTTGTTTCCCTATGAGCCAAATGAAAAATAAGCTATAGCAAATAAGACTACTTTTAGGGAATTTTTCTTAAATGTAAGAATAGGATTTTTGCTAATATCAATTTGGTTCAATTTGATTCTGGTCTAATGTACGCAGCAATCAAAATAGCCCAATATTACTTTTATTTGTTTTTTTAGACCTTTCTACAATCTTAATACAATAAAATGTCCTTGGGAAATGCTTTCTTTGAAGTAAAACACAAACTGAAAATAAGCAGCAGGTCAGCTGTTTCATGGGGACAGCAGTCACCTCTTCAGAACTATGGACAGGACCCATTAGGCTCTGTCATGACTGCAAGAGCGTCTCTACTTCCAAGTGTACAAACTCTGGTTGTGAGTTAGAATAAAGTGGGGCATGTGGGTCTTTAGCATTCTCCTGAACGTCCTCCTTCAGGAAATTAAAGTGAACACTTAGAATTCCATAGTTTTCTGGAGAATCCTCTGAAATTATGAGCAATTGAATTTATTCCTGTGTCTCTCAAGGAACCTCCCAGGTCTTACCGAGGAGGGCCATGAGGGTGTCTAGTGCTGGAGCTGCATTGGATGAATAAAAATGCCAAGCAAGGAAGCCCCAGCCAACCACTCAGCCAGCCCACGTAAAACTGGATACACTCTAGAGCTCTGTTATCCCCAACAACCTTCATCCCTAAATGAGACCAAGACTCACATATTTGAGAAAAAGATCCGTAGGCCACTGTAGGACTTTATGTTTTTGATATTCATCAATTTTAGACAGCATAACTTGTTTGGCAACATTATTTTTCAAATCCCCTCTTCCACACAGCTCGCCCACATTCTCCTCTCTGATCTAGCAATTTTTCTCCAGGGGGTGGCGATGGAGGAACAGAATTCTGTCTGGTTTTCTTTTTTTTTTTTTTTTTTTTTTGCATCCTAAGGGCTGAAGTATAAGCTAACCCATGCAAAATGTATGCAAAATATAGTGTGACCTTACTCTGAAATGGAAAAAATATATTTTACCTATCTTTAAGCTGTGAAGGGGGGGAACGTATTTTATTTATCTTTAAGAACTGTGTAGACAACCTATCTTTAAGCAAGGTGAAAACAGTATAATTCTTGCTTAAAATAAAAGGGTCTCTTGCCAGATTTCACTATGTGATCTTAGACAAGTTATTGAACTCTTAAAAATATCAAGTTTTGGGGGGGGGAATGGTAGGTAATTAGGAACCTAAGAATTGTGGTCTCATGTTTCTGTATGACTTTTGAGATGCTAGCTTTTTAAGTTCTATTACTCCTGTTTGATCTAATTTCCTTGAAAAGGAATGCCAGAATGTTTGCTTTCAAAATTGTCAAAAATCTGTATCTATGGTCAAGGATCAAAGGGTGATGAGCAGAATAGTAGGGATAAAATTTGTTATAGTGATTTTTCTTTCAAAATGTTTTTCAATATTGTTTTATATTTTCAATAAACAAAAAAGGTGTGGATAAATAGCATTTTATATTTGAAAGGTAAAGTCAGTGAAAGAAGTGAGGGTCAATAAAGTACAGTAAATCTAAGTATTTTGGTGTCAGAGTGATTTATCTTAAGAGATGTGGAGATTGGTAGAAGCAGGAAGACCAGCAAGGAGTTTGTTGATAAATCAACAGGCTTTGGCTGTCGCTTCTGTGGCTCAGGAATCTGATCTAGACTCTATTGAGAAAAAACACAAATGATTTACATCCTTTGTTTATTGCTCCTGATAACAGTTTAATTTTCCATTTACTTTTCCATTTGATTTTGGACTTGATAGTTAAAAAAGAGAAAAGGGTTAATTTGGATTTGACCACGTAATTCTGACTCACATGTAGCTGATGTCAGTGGTCTTGAAAAAAAAGGCTTTGGTAAAAATAAAGTAGGGAGCATTGGAAAATCAAATTCCAGGGGACTAAGTATTATTCTTTAGGTTTTGTGTATACAAAGTGTTGAGTCATACACTGTATTTAAATATTCCCCGGTGACAATCTTTCTTTTCAATTTTAGCAGACAGCACCAACACAAGAAGAGGGGCTGGATTTAGTAGCAGTGCCTCTGGAAATTAAGCATTTGGTTTGGGGACATCTGGTCAAAAGGGATTGGAAATCAGTAGGGGATCTGCTGGAGGTGGAGCAAAAGGTTTTGGGTGGAAGCCCGTAGCTCAGGTATTCCAACTAAGACTCATTCCAGAAAATGTAAAATTATTTAATTAACTAATTGGTTAAAATATTTTTCTTTACATTTAGCAGTAAACCAATTAATAAAGATGAATTTTAATACCATTTTGGCTTTTCCCATCAGTTGGAACTGGGTCTTTGGTTGGGAACTCAGAGCAGGAAAAGGCAATTCTGCATTTGGTTTGGAGCTCCTGGTTCAAGTTTATTTGGTGACAGTGGCATAGTAGCAAAATAGTTGAAGGAAATTGAGTGATTAGGTCTGGAGGATCCGCTGCCAGTGATGTAGGTGTTGATATTTCATTTTTGTGCATAAAAACTTCTGAATCATAAAATATTTCCAATATATTCTGTGACAATCATTTTATATTCTGCAGGTGACACCAGTTTGAGAAGTGGGGATACATTTGTTGCTGGTAGCCCTGGAAATCTGAAATTCTATTTAGGGGCTTCTGATCAACAGGGATTTGGAATCAATGAAATTGGAGGGGATGAATTGAGTGGCAGTGGATATATTGGGGCTGGATTCAAAGGCCTTGGACTTGATGCCAGTAATTCAGGTATTACAATAAAGATTCATTCTGGAAAATTTTAAACTAGTTAAATTAACTAGTTGAAATACTTTTCTTTAAATAACATTTAACAACAAACTAATTAATTAATAAAGATTAATTTTTAATAACATTTTGATTTTTCCATCGGTTAGAACCATGTCTTTTGGTTGGGAACTCGGAGCAGGGAAGGGCAATCAATGCTGCATTTGGTTTTGGAGCTTCTGGTTTGAGTTTATTTGGTGCCAGTGTGTTAGTAGCAAACTAGTTGAAAGAAACTGAGTGGTTAGATCTGGAGAATCCATTTTCAATAATCTAGGTATTGATGTCTTATTTTTGTGCATAAAACTTTCTGAATCATAAAATGTTTTCGATGTATTCTGTGACTCATTTTGTATTCTCCAGGTGACATCAGTTTGGGAAGTCAGAATACATTTGTTGATGATAGCTTTGGAAATTCGGAATCCAATTTAGGGGCTTCTGAGCAACAGGGATTTGGAATCACTGAAATTGCAGGGGATGGATTGAGTGCCAGTGAATCTGTTGAGGATGGACTCAAAGGCTTTGCCTCTGATGCCAGTACTTCAGGTATTGCATTCAGTCTCTGTTCCTGGGAAATCCAACTGGATTTCAAATATTTGTTATTTTCTTTGATAATATTTTGATTTTTCTATTTGTTGGAAAGCTTGAGTGTTTTGATTTTGGACTTGAAGGAAAGACATTCAAAAAAAATTTTCTGAATCATAAAATTTATTAAGTATATTCTGGTAGGAGTGCTGGTTCAAGAAGGGGTGAAGATGCTGGTAGTAATTTTGGAGATTTGGAATTTGGTGTTTTACCATTTGATGAAAAGAAATTTGGAGGCAGGAGATTGATGGAATGGGGCAGCAATGTCTGTTGGGCCTGGATCCATGAATTTCAGGTTTAATGCTCTTAACACAGGCATTCTACTAACCTGGACTCTTTCAGTGAAATTGAAATGTATTTCAAATATTTATTATTGTTAAAATAACAGTTTATTTTTTTCTGATAGAGATAAGGATCTGGTTTTCTAACTTTAGAAAGGGAGAAAGGAATGGTTGAACTCAATTTGATTTTGGAGATTCTGGTTCAAGTCAATTGGTGACAATGGTCACAGTGGAACACACATAGATAGAAATGGAGTAGGTGGTTCTTTAGGCTCAAGTTTCAGTGCTCTAGGCATTGATGGCTAATTTCTGTGCACAGAACAATTCTAAATCATGGTATGCACTGAAGTAATTCTCATGACCATCATTTTGTATTCAGCAGGTGGCTCAAATGCCAAAAATGAGAGTGACTATCCTGGTGGTATTTCTGAAGATTCAGGACTCAGTTTGGGGTCATCTGATCAACAAGGATTTGAAGTCGGTGAAATTGGTGGGAATGGAAACAGTAACGGTGGATCTGCTGGGTCTGAGTACTTGAGTCTTGGATCTGATATCAGTGCCTCAGGTACCCTAACCTGGACTCTGTTCCCAAGAAATCCAAATTATTTTCTTCTTTCTTTATTTCCTTTAAACACAACTTAATTTTCCACTAGGAGGAAACATTTGGTCTTCTGGTTCTGGAAGTGGTGAAGGAAGGAAGGGTACAACTGGACTTGACGTTGGTGCATCTGGACCAAACACATTTGATGAAACTGGCCTTAGTGGTGCAGGCACCTGTGATAATGGAAAAGATGTTACTGGATCTGTTTCCCGTGGCTTAGGAAGTTAGATTTATTTCTGTTAATTAGAATGTCAGGATTCTAACATACATTTTAAAGTAACAGCGAAAATCATGAATACTCCTAATAACATAAAAAGCAAGGCAGAATCCTGAAATGATGGACAGGATCAGGCAGAAGTCATTTAATATTTGTTGGCATCGGATGTGGAACTAGTTTTGTTGCTGTGGATATGTTGACGTGGAATAATTTTTGTTGCCTTCACGTGAAATTGATTTGGAGTTGTATAAGGTGAAGAGTAGCAGCTGACTTGTTGGGCTTGAACTTTGTATTTTGGATCTCGTCTTGGTGGCTTAAGTTTTTTTGGCAGATTCATTCCTGAAAAGAGTAAATAAGATGCATCCTTTAAAAAAAATCTGATAAAATTAGTATTTCCACTTAGTGGAAACATGAGATTAAATAGTCTTCAAATTTGTGATACACGTTGTTAAAGGAAAAATGATATGGGGACTATTCTGATGCTGCTTGTAGTGTTGGAAGGTCTTGGGAACCGATCACAGAACTGTGGACAGTAGGTTCCTTTCTAATGATGTAAGTGTTCTGAAAAATATTCATGATTCATACTTGGAACTCAAATTTATAATTAATATCTTTTTAAGAAATAGAATTGAATTAGTAAGAAATATAAGTGTAGTGTAGTAGTGGTTAACCTCAGGCACAATTGACTATGAATGAATCTGTTCTAAAAAGGCTTGGTCACACAGAAATCGTAATTTTGTTTTTTGTTGTTCTTAATCTTTGGACATAAATTTTGAAGTCAAAACTTAATTAAACTGAAAAATTTTTAATTATTCATGATTTATTGCCACTGATTTTGTTTACGGACAGCTGATACAGATAGTTTAAGAGACACTGAAATTATGAACTCCAGATCTGCTGCCATTAGCTCAGGTATTCAAATTTAGGTTTTTGTTCCTGAGAAATGTGCTAAGAAGTAATTGTCTCTTTTTCTACTGTGGGGTAGTTACCAATCTGAGATTTTTTGGGGGTGTTAGCTTTTGACTGCTTTCATTTTTTCAAATCAGATGATAGACTTTTATTTTTTAGTGTTCTCTCTGGTAGTGGATCTCATGGTATTAAATCTAGTGTCTTTGAAATGGCAGGTTCTGGACTTCTTGACATTAATGTCTCTTGACATTAGATATCTTACGATTGAACATCTCAGTTTATCTAGATTGGTGGTTTTAATGCTTTCAGTTTCTCTTAACGCAGAATGCTTTGTTCAACTGATGTCTTGAAATGGCGCCTAGATTTCCCAAATGTACAGTAACAGTTCAAAGTGGGAGCAAGTTTGGTTGAACCTGGAATAAGAGACTTGAAACCCTGTCTGTATAACTCTTTTCTCTTTCCCTGAACAGGTTTTCAGGCAACTGATCTGGAATAAATCAATTTAGTGATGAGGCTTATCATTTTGTTACTTCAGCAGGTTTTTGAGTTAATGATTTTTTTTTTCTCATACAGCTTCACATCATTCTAAGTCTGCTAGCATGAGCACTGCCGAAATTGGATCGATGGTTTATACATCAGATTTAAATCTTTTTTTATATATTTTAATAAATAAGATTATACCCAGAAACAGCCTAATCATTTTGTATTAAATAGGTGTCACAGGCTCATCTGACAACAGTACTTCTGGACCACTCAGTATTCCAGGTAGTTTGATTTATAACATCCAATGTTTAAAAGAAAAATTTCTGTTGATTATTGATTTACTAGAACTTGATATTATTATGCGTTTCCCATGTGAAATTGAGCTTCTAGGTGCTTCCTCTCTTTGAATATTCAATTTAAATGACCAATTGGATATCTGAAACAACTTTATGAATAAGAAAGATTAAATTATATTTTAAGAGAACCTAAATAAAACAATACAACTTCTCTTTTATCATTTTAGGTATAATATTTAAGGAATGACTTTATAAATAAGAGTTTAATCTGTCTGCACTTAAGTTGAGTGAAGACAGCACGTAATAGAGAGGTGACCTCAAGATACACAATAAATGGCATTGTGAAAAATATTTTTAAATTCTCTCAAAATAATTCACTTTTTAAAATTGTTGCTGTTCTATTCTGCTTGCTTTTAGACTTGCTCTAAGATTGCATGTGTTTACTTGGTTACATAAAAGGGTCAGTGCATTAGAAATAAACAATTGTGGGAAACTTTAAGTTTCAAAGTATACAAACTTTTCCCTTTGATGAGGTGAATTAATTTTTTCATATATAGATAATTGAGTTACTAGTATTATATGGTAGACTGATTTAGTAAAATCAACCTTGGACTTGTTTGGATAGGGTTTTCTGATAAAAATAGGCTACCAAATGCTATTCTTAAAGTTGAAGAAATAGTTTTATAAGGGATGCCGCATATGTTAGTAACTGTACGTGACCCCAAATGAATAAGCTCTAAAAGATTTCTGAACATACTGTGGCTGATTGCTACAAGAAAAATCACAAATTTCAGAGATAATAATGCGTATGACTTTGGCAAATCACAGCTCTCACAAAATCAAATTATACACTTTGGATAAAAAAACCCATTGATGGCCTTCAATATCAACTTTTAAAATTCCCATGTAGAAGACAGAATATCCTGTATATTTAAAATCAGTATGTATCTTGAAATTTAAATAATCTATGCATTGTGTTGAATAGAAAAAGGATCCCATATTCCAGAAGCAACCCCGAAATACTCAGAAACAATTGCAATTGTTGGTAAGTAAAAATGACTCTGATTTCTTTCTTTTTTTTAATGACTCTGATTTCTACCCATATTTCTGTGCCTAAGCCAGCCAGTACCTAGTGAGGTTTCAAAATAACCAAAATTTGAAATTAGTTTTAAAAAAATTTCCCATCATCTGTTTTATACATAAACATATACACATACATACATATGTATGGAGAGAAATAATATAATTCTTTACGCTTATTTAATAGAAATGGTAACTCGCTCAGACAACCTTAGAAAGACTATCTCTACAAAAAGCAAAACAAACAAGTAAACGGACCACAACTTCCCTCCACAGGGCCCTTCCCAGAGTCAAGACAGTTACCCTTTTCCACTGGGAAACGAGATGTTTTTATTCATGTTTTGTTTTAGTCGGAATAGCCAACTTTTGTTGTTCCCAAGTTACTTTTAGCACACCTTGCAGTATGTGATAAAGTGTGAGAATTGAACCTTTCAGTGATTTTTTCTTCCTTGATACATAAGCGCTTAAAAAAATCAAAATTAGAAGCTGTGCTAATTGTTCTAACTAATGATGAATATTCCACCCTGAATATTTTGTAGGTGAAGCTTCTACGTGGGGCACAGGAGCATACAAAGCTTTCAATGGCCGTGTCTTTTCCTTTGAGTCATCGTGCACGTATACCTTCTGCCGTCACTGCATTGACTCTGGAGGAGATTTCAATATTGAGGTCAAGCGAAACAATGATAGTGAGATTGAAAAAATCGCAGTTATAATCGACAATAACGACATCTCTATTTCTGGCGATACCATTTTAGTTAACGGAGAAAGGTGAATGTCATAATGTTTTGAATAAAGGCTGTAGAATTACTTAAGCAACCCGAGCAAAAAGGAAAAAAAAAAGGCTGAATAGGGAAGAGATAGTACTCTTTTCCTGTTTTGGGTGCTCAAATTGATATTTTTAATGAATTCCTCTTAAATGTATAAGACTTTGCGGTATGTGGGATTGTAAGATATTATATTTATTCCTATAGCAAGTAAGGGGAAAAAAAGAGTGGTTCTATTGTTTGGCTGTTTTGAGTCTCTAGATTTGGGGCAACATGCATATTCAACAAAACTGTTAATAGGATGTTTCAATTTTCATTTGTATGTTTAACACTAAATACAAATTTGAGGTTTTACAATATACTGAAACTTAGGCCATTATTTTCAGAAATAGCGATTTGTATTTGGAAGGATGACTATTTCAATACTTTTCAGGATAAGAAAATGAGGCATGATATTCTACTTGTGGACACTTCAAATTATTTCATCATTTTATTCTTACATTGAACCACTTTCTTCTTGTTGGTGCCTCCAAAGCCCCAAGGACCTATTCATTGTTTCTTAGAAGTCTTTCCAAAATTGGACAAATAGCCATTGTGTCTCTTCTTCTGTGATGATCAGAATAAGAAAACTTTAATATTTATTAGCCAGTATTATATTTATTATACTAAATGCAGAAACATGGATTATCACAACAAACACGTCAAATTAATGCTATTCTTACCTTTATATGTACTTGTATTTTGTACTTTTCAGTGTACAGATACCATATAACAATAAGTTGATTCACATTAAAAAATACGGAGAACATAATGTTCTGAATAGCCGTAGAGGAATCCTGTCTCTGATGTGGGACAAAATTAACAAGCTCTCAGTAAGTCCATCTATGATTTTCTTATAACCCTGTGCTTTCTGGTTTTTACCATTGGTTGTACAAATAATGCAATATAAGGAAAATAAGAGCTAACGTTTATTGAGAAATCTCTATGTATTGATCACTGTACTAAGCATTGTCTACTATTTAAACTACCTTTAAGTAGAATGTCATTAATCTTACTTTACAGATGAGAGAACTCAGGAAATTCAGACTATCCAAAATTAAATAATTGGCCCAAAGACACACAGTTAGTAAGAGGTGAAGTCAGGACCGTTCCAAATTCTAGATCCAGATCTTTTAGAAAAGGCCGTGTAGTTTATTTCTAAGTAAGCAGCTTAGGCGACATTGAACATGGAGAGCCCCTGTCCTTTGGTTTGGGTAAACTTCATCTTGAGATATTTTCAATATTTTATAAACATATACATGTAATTTTTTTTTAAAAGCTCACTCTTCACAAGCAATATCCAACTTGTGGTCTTTGTGGTAACTTCAACAGCACTCCAGGTAAGATTTCATGTCAAAGAAAATTATCTACCCAAAGAAAACTGTAAAGTAATTACTCATATTTAGATAAACCTAACAACTAACAATTTGCATTTGTCTAAAGAATAAGAAATTGTTAAAATAAAAAATATATATTTATATTGTCAAGTCCACATTTATCTTGAAAATAGTGTATGTATATAATGAGTATCTTGAAAACATTGCATTTTTTTTTTTAAGGAGACGATATCAATGAGCACATTGCCAACAGTAAAATTCCTGGTAATTGTCCCAGTGCTGTTAGTAAAAGCTATGAAGTCTGTGAAGATGGAGTAGAGGTAAGAAACTTAACATTTCATCCAGGAGCAGATTTCAGCGATATTCCCCCTTGATTTCAATTTAGAGAGCCCACATTTTCTTCTAAGCAACTTGTTCTTAGAATTCTGCAACTGCTCCCTCTCCAGTGTCCCTGTGGTCTGTTTCTAAGCTTTAGACTAGCTGTAGATTCTAATATAAGTGCCTTTTTCCCTAAAACATTATGATGTTTACTATACATCAGTGTAACAATTCTAACTTCCTTAAACGTTTTAGTTTGTTGGTAAACTGAGGCACTTCACCTCTCCATGTTTATCTCTTGATGGGGACTGACTTGACTCTTACAGTTTACAAATCCCTGTACCGTGTTCCTAAGACCTACTTTCTGCTCTCACTCCCTGAGTTTTGCCCCAGATAGCCAGTCTGAATTGTCACCTCCTGTATACTTGACCTTGTTTTGAAAAAGTTACAGACTATCTTTTTGACGATGACCCTTGAAAATAGTCGTCATTTGCTCTGAATTTTCTGCACTTGTGTAATTCTTTTAATGTGGAATTTGATAGTTTGCATTCATTTGATGACTGAGGGCATTTTCGCATATTCCTATTCCAATCTAGCACAAAATTCTCAAGATCACAATATGT